TCTTCTTCTTCTTCTTCTTCTTCTTCTTCTTCTTCTTCTTCTTCTTCCTCCTCCTCCTCCTATTGTTATTGTTGTTATTATTATTATTGTTATTGTTATTATTTGCAGCTACAACACACTGCTGGCTCATACTTAACTTCATCTGTTGGTTTCACGTGTTTGCCTGTTACTCCCACCTGACAGTTGCCGCAATGTTGGTCTATTTCACCTAACATGCCAAGACGATACCTGGAGTTCTACAGCACAATATGTGCATATATTCCTTTCCAGTGCACGCCAGTGGTATTCGGAAGGAAGAAGAAAGTTAGAGTACAGCATAACAATTCCAGCCCTATCCCTGTTCTATAGGCACAGACAGGTACAAAGGGGTGGGGCCTGAACTGGGATGCCACACCTGTTTTGATCCTCACCCTGCCAAAATGCCACTGCTGGCTGTTAAAATAGGGGTGTCTTACCTTGGCAACTTCAAGACTTGTGGACTTCAATTCCCAGAATTCCCCAGCCAGCTGGCTGGGGAATTCTGGGAGTTGAAGTCCACATCCCTTAAAGTTGTCCAAGTTGGCCAATCCTGTATTACAATCGGAAATGGGAGACCGGCATTCATTGTGCAATCAAGACAGAAAAGGTACTCACCACACAACTCCTTGGTATCCACGTTACTTGAAAGAAAGGGAAAGAAAAAAATAGAAAAGAATGAGAAAAAAAAGGAGGGGGAGATAGAACAATTTCACGCCAAGCAATTCACAACCAGTTAAGCAGAAAGTTAAGCGTGGATGTGTGTCTGAAGGTGTTTAACCCATTCTGCTGCCTTTGAAACCGAGGTCTCAGAAAATCTGCGCATTCTATCGGCAGAGATGGCTAAACTGACTGCTTTGATCAAGGGAAAACAAATACAAATACCTGGAAACCACTTCTGGACTCTGTGCTTGAGGTAGAAAAAAAATGAATCTTTGATTTTGGGCTTTACCGATTAACAGATTAACAGCGTTGGAAGGGACTTTGTAGGTCATCTAGTCCAACCTCCTGCCCAAGTGGGAGACCCTACACCATTTCTGACAAATGTCAGTCCAATCTCTTCTTGAAAGTCTCAACTGATGGCGCTCCCACAACTTCTGAGGGCAAAAGCTGTTCCGTTGGTTGATGGTTCTCACTGTCAGAAAGTTTCTCCTTGTTTCTGGGTTAAATCTCTCCTTGTTCAGCTTCCATCCATTATTCCTTGTCTGACCTTCGGGGGCTTTGGAGAATAGCTTGACCTCTTCTTCCTCCCTGTGGCAGCCCCTCAAATATTGGAAGACTGCTATCATCTCTCCCCTGCTCCTTCTCTTCACTAGACTAGCCAAGCCCAGTTCCTGCAACCGTTCTTCATATGTTTTAGCCTCCAGTCCCCTAATCCTCCTGGTTGCTCTCCTCTGCACTCTTTCTAGAGTCTCAACATCTTTTTTATGGTGTGGTGTCCAAAACTGGATGCAGTATTCTAGGTGTGGTCTTACTAAGGCTTTACAGATTGGTATTAGTACCTCACTTGATTTTGATTGATTGATTAGATAAATATAGTGTTTACTATGTTAAACTAAAAAGTTGTGATTTGATGTTATTACCCCATTCTCCTGCATCGGAAGACAATGCCTTTTCTTTCTTTTTTCCCCTTCTCTTCCACACTTTTCTCTCCCCCTTTCCCTTCCCCATCTCTCCTTCTTTTTGCCTTTGCATTTGGGGAGAGGTATGTTATATCATAAATTAATAAAATTGTTATAAACACACACACGCACATACACAAAAGAAATCCTGTGCTTTCTATCTGCCAATTGGAAGGACTCAGTAGCAAAATGCCAACTCCAGCAATAACAGCAAAACCTTTTAATGCTTATCTACGAATTCCTTTCATTCGCGGTTAAAAGGCTATTAAGACTAATTATCTCTAATAAGAACGAGCCTTCCCAAGGTTGTGCAAGGCTGCCAAAAGCACTAGATTAAGTTGCCAAGAAATATTCCAAACAAAAAATCTCCAAACACAAACCAAGATAATCCAAATGTCCACAAAGCTTGAAATGCAAAAACTTGTTTGCTTTCTGCAAAGAACTCTGGTCTCTCAGACTGGCTTTTATCTCTTAAGGGAGCGGCCATCACCTTGCCGCCTCACTCCCAAGTCGCCTGTGCTGCTGCAGCTGCTCTTTCCTTCCAGCAGCCCTGCGTGCATGCGCACTGGGCACAGGCTCCTCGGGGTCCTCTTCCTCACTGCTGCCAGCCTCCACAATCCCCAAAGACAGCCCTCCACTCCCCGATGGTCTTGGCCTCATCCGTGCATCACATGCAGGCCCCTCATCTGAGTCCTCACTCTGCGAGACCTCAGCCATCTGCACCTGCTGATGGCGAACCACGAAAGCTTTAAATTCCTTTTTCAGTGGGGCATTTTTGCTGAACTTCCTGGCCTCTTCAAAGTGAGCTGTGCTTGGTACTATCTTTGATGACTTTTGAGGATTAGGTAAAGTTCCAAGCATTTTTAATCATTGAATCCATATACATAGACCCGTGGTGCTCCAGTGGTTAGAGTGCAGTATTGCAGGCTAACTTTGCTCACAGTCTGGAGTTCGAAGCTGACCAGGTCAAAGTTGACTCAGAATTTCCACTCTTCTGAAGTCAGTAAAATGAGGACCCAGATTGTTGGGGCCAAGAAGCTGACCCTTTAAACCACAGAGGGGCTGTAAAGCACTATGAGGTGGTATATAAGTCTAAGTCCTGACCAGCACAAGGTTGACTCAGCCTTCCATCCGTCCAAGGTCAGTAAAATGAGGACCCAGATTGTTGGGAGCAAGAAGGTGACTCTGTAAACCGCTTAGAGAGGGCTGTGAAGCAGTATATAAGTCTAAATGCTATCACTATGGCTACCTGGATGTTTATGAGCTCTGTATTCAAGCTGCTGCTTTTATTGTTTATTTTTGTTTTAGAGTTACAAGTATATTGTGTGTTAATCCTATATTTTAGTGCTTTTAAAAATTTAGCTGGCTTGGTCATCATCTCCCTCATATGAAGTTCATTTCCCCTCCTCAAATATCCCATCCACTTGGCACTCGATCTGAGATAAGGACAAGTTCTTTATCAACTCACGCCCCGGCAAGCCTATTTTCACCTCCCTTTCCTGGTGTTTTTACACAATCTTTTATCCCGATAAGGCTTCCAATGCTTCCTGTGATTGACAGCTCTCTCTTGCTCAGTAACTTCCAATCCATCTGTCCTTAAAAAAAAAAAACCAAGAAGAAAAAAAGTAACACCCTCAGCCCCAATCTGCTTGTCATTTCACCTTCAAGTTCTTTTTCAGATTTAATTCTTCATCCAGTTGTTATAAAGAATGGGAAAAACTTTGGAAAGCCGCAAACCTCAATTTTCCACGAGCAAATTCTATTCCCCCGGTAAAATGTTGTTGACATGCTGAAGTATGCAAAGGTAGTTCGATACCTAAATCAATCAATCTAACCTACTTAGCCAAAATGATTCAAACCACAAAAGAAGAAAGAACTGCTTCATCAAATTCTTCAACAAAGCAAGCCATAACAGCAGAAGACTTGATACTACCTGCTGAAGAATAGAAATAGTTCCAGAAAAAAATGAGAAAATCCTAGTTGGCTACCTGGCTGCAAACTCTAACTAGTGAAATTTTCTTATTATTATTTTTTTAGGTACTTGGGTACTTATTATCATATGTGCTGGACTTGCACGAAAACAAGAAAATATTGGACAAAAATACATACATTGGTTGGAAAAGATGATCAAGCAACATGTAGATCTGAAACCAGAACTATTTTTGTTGGGTATAATGCCGGAGGGCTATGATAAAGGGGCTACATATCTAGTTTTGTATGTATTGACAGCAGCAAGGATTGTATTTGCACAATATTGGAAAAATGAAAACATTCCATCAGATGAGGATGTAATTCGGAAAATATTAGACTGTGCAGAGATGGATAGACTGACATTAAAAATAAAGGACAAAGAAGACACAGAGTATTACTTAACATGGAATAGATTTTACATGTGGCTAGAGATAAGAGGTAGAAATTAGACGAAGAAAGATTATTGCTATGTATGACTTAAATATAAAGATGGTTTATACTTATAAATATGCCAATACAACCAACAGAATTACAAATAAGCTAATATAAAGAGAAATCTAGTTAAAACTATTCCGTTACAGTATTATTATTATTATTTGTATATATGTTAATATTCTTTTTTGTTCTTTCTTTGCTTTTCTGGAAATGATATGCCCTGACAATACACTGTATTCAAAATGTTTATGAATAAAAAAAAGAAAGAAATAGAAATCAAGCAGGACTGTTTAGTGTCCATAAGTCCTGCTTGTTTGGTTTTTGATGTGCATTACAAATACCCTATCAGATATTTTTAAATATGCTGTAATTAAAGTTCTCGCACTCATAGAAATTCATAAATCCTTTGAGCCTTTACAGGAAGTTCAAAAACATCGAGAGAATTGAGCAAAAGTCTTAAGTATACCTAAGAAAGATGAAGAAAGGCAAAAGCCTCTGTAATACGAAAATAAAACTTTTGGAGAAATTAAAAGGCAACAAACGAGAATATTGAAGTGCACCCGGAACTGTCCGTGGTGCTGAAATTAAGATTTCCTCGTCGCAAACTTTTGAAGAATTATTTTTCAATCTTGGCAATTTTAAGATGTGCAGACTTCAAGTCCACACATCTTAAAAGTATTCTGGGAGTTGAAATCCACACATCTTAAACTTCCTAAAGGTGAGAAATACTGCTTTAGGGGGAAAAAAAAGCATTAACAAGCCTGATTTCCTCTTTGATTTTACATTCTCCTTCCCGAAACAGTTCTTGGAAATTGGTCATATTACAGTTTGGTCTAACAGAGGTTGACTATAGAAGCCGCATGAGAGGAAATTTGATATAACTCCAGGAGATTTATTTTTTCTCCAAATATTATCGTGGAAAAAGTTGAAGCAAGAAAACATGCTATTGGCTTTGGACTGAGGAAATGAGGTTTCTCAGGATGGGAAGTCTCACTATTTCAGCTACATAATCAATGCTCAGGGATGATAGGACCTGCATTGCAGCATTTAAAGGCCAATAATTCTTTACTTTTTTTTTCTAGACCAAGAGTTCTGCACTTGGGCAGATTGGCATTAGAATTAAGCAATTAAAATAAATATTGTCCCTGTTTTGTGATTTGTGGTAGTTACCAGATGGCAAAAGCTCTCTGCAGCCAAGATCTTTTAAGCTGATTTTAGAATTCAGTATACAATAATAAGTTAACAGATCAGACCATGTTCTAAGAGAAAGTGAGCTGTTTCAGACAGTTGAGTTTCAAAAAGATGAGTTAGGTTGATGCCCTACTGATACAAGTGATGAATCAGAATGATTTGCAAGATACTGTTTGAAGTCTAAGAGAAGACTTAGAAGATGACAATTGATTCTAGCAAGCTGATGATTAATTGAATGGAAAATCACTATGGTTTTGAGTTTTGTTGTTAAATCGACTTTGGCCCAAAGCTTTGTTGAATATGATATGGGGAAAATGTATTGAGGCTAAAGAAATACAGAATAACAGAGCTGGAAGGGATCTTGTAGGTCATTTAGTCCAACCCCCTGCCCAAGCAGGAGACCCTACACCATTTCTGACAGAGGT